AGTGCACTAAGCTAATTACTAACCAGTGGACTAAGCTAACTACTAACTAGTGGACTAAGATAACTACTAACCAATGGACTAAGCTAATTACTAACCAGCAGACTAAGCTAACTACTGACCAGTGGACTAGGCTAACTACTAACTAGTGGACTAAGATAACTACTAACCAGTGGACTAAGCTACCTGACTGTAATAAGTTCATATTCTGACTTATTGCCCATTAAGTTGATGAATGCGTTAGACACAATACAACGTAGTTTGAGAATGCAGTCGGCTTGTTTCAACATGACTTCCACTCTCTTGACCTGAAGGGGATTTTATTTTTGCACAGACAGAAGTTTTTCTTTCAGCAGTCAGTGTTTGAAGTGATGAACTTGTCTTAACTTGGTGTTGACGGAAGTAATTAACCCGCTGAAGAATATGACTGCAAGCATGACACAAAGTGCCTTTGTTGCTGTACTGCAGCCTGTGTGTGTCTGTGTGTGTGTGTGTGTGTGTGTGTGATAGTGGTGGTAGAAGTACTTACGTGTAGTAGAAATACTTACAATTAAAAGGCATTAAGTACAAAAGTATTAACATCAACATAAACACAAAGTGAAAGGACTCATTCTGCACGATGGTTCTTTAGAGAACAATGTATATTATTGTTTCAAAATGTAATATCGGATAAACGCCTTTAGATGCACCATCTCGTTTTCACACAGGCACTAAACATGGAAGTTAACAAAATATTCAAGCAAAAAATTAAAAAATAATAATAACACATTTAACAATTCAACGACACAAAAACATCAACAAAGACATTCACAAAAAATGATCTTTCTCCATCCCATCCCAAAGCACACATACATAATTAAAGAAATAATAAGCATAATAATAACAAAATGACATTATGTCAAAGTACTGAGTCTATTTATAAACTGGAAATGAAGGCAAACAATGAAAAACAAGAATAAGTAGATTAAAGATAAGAAAGCTAAGATTGCTTTAAGTCATGGGAAGAAGTAATCAATCTAAATTAATTAGGCAAATTATTCCAGTCTGATTTTCTCAGTTCTTTAAGTTCTTTAAAAATGCTCGGCATGATAAAAGGTTGCTGAGTGTGTGTGAAGATTTGAACAAAACTAAACTCTGACCAATGAACAAATACAACTGGATGACAATTATTGTGTATATTTGATGTTTTTTTTAATAAGGGGGTAGTTGTAATTACTAATTACTATAAAGTGTTATGTTATCTAAACCTTTACATCATAGTCTATTTGTCACTTGTATTTTGTAATATTGTTGTATTATTAATATGAAAAATGTAATAGAGTAGATGTTGTACAGATTGCAAAGCCCTTTGTGCTATAAAATTCAAATTGAATTGAATTAACTAAAAAGTTTAATGATTAATTCAGAAAATGGAAATGATCAATTTAAGACCGATACCTCTAAATTGAATATAAGTACGTTACTTGAGTAAATGTACTTTTCACGACTGGATTTGAAAAGCAAAACAAGCCATCTTCATTGGGAAGAGCTTATTATTTTGGCAATAATTATTTTAACACCAGATATCACTATCTGCTTCCCAAGATGCTCCTAGAGTCACGGTGGCAACGCTCAGCACGTCCCTTCCTGTCTCTGAGGGCCGCATTGTGACGTTTACATGTTGGAGTGATGCCAACCCACCTGTGACGCGCTACACCTGGTTCAGAGTCGACAGTGGCAAGGTAACAGACACTCTATTGTATTTTACTTTATTAGGTTTTTTTTGCATACTTTTTTATCTGTACGATCATTCAGGGACACATTTATTTTACCTTCTTTGTGGCCAAGACATTGGAAATTGGCTCTACATACTGAAAGAGTATCTTTATACTAGGATACAAGGTCTATGCACATCTTATAAAGTGCGCAGTATGAAAACCAAATCCTCAAAAATACATTTCAGTAACTGCACTTCAATTCCCATCAATTGTGTGTCTTTTGTGTTCGTTCCCTAAAACAAATTGTCCTCACTTTAGTTTTGAACTCAAACGTGTATCACCTCTCCTCGTGACAGTTGACGAAGACGGATGAAGGAGAACAGATGGTCCTGCAGGTCAGTCGGACGGACAGCGGGGTTTATCTGTGTGAAGCTCGAACCCAGAAGGTCTCCCAGAGGTCCAGACCTGTGACTCTGGAGGTCAACGTCACTGCAGGTAAACAACATATGGCTTCATCTCGACTGTGCTGCAAGTCGCCACTTTTGATTCAGAAACTGTCGGTTAATCCAATGCACGGGATGATGATTCACCAGCTCCTGACGATGGAATCTGAGACTAACAGGATGTCAACTGGAGAAGATCTACAGTTAAATACACAGAAACAGGCGACAGTGTCTGTGATTCTGAGAGTGTTTCTTCTCTTTTTGGTGGATTATTTGTAACATGTGAGCTATAAAGTCAACTGAAGTGAAGGGAAGTAAAGAAAGATAAAGTAAAGCCACAAAGTACAGTAAGATCAGGTGAAGAAAGCTGCAAAGTAAAGTAAAGTGAGATGAAATAAAACAACAAAACGAAGTGAAGTGGGGTGAAGTGAAGTAAAGCTACAAAGTAAAGTAAAGTGAGGTGAACTGAAGTAAAGCTACAAAGTAAAGTAAAGTGAGGTGAAGTAAAGCTACAAAGTAAAGTGAAGTGAAGTGAAGTAAAGCTACAAAGTAAAGTGAGGTGAAGTAAAGCTACAAAGTAAAGTGAGGTGAAGTAAGGCTACAAAGTAAAGTGAGGTGAAGTGAAGTAAGGCTACAAAGTAAAGTGAGGTGAAGTAAGGCTACAAAGTAAAGTGAGGTGAAGTGAAGTAAGGCTACAAAGTAAAGTGAGGTGAAGTGAAGTAAAGCTACAAAGTAAAGTGAGGTGAAGTAAAGCTACAAAGTAAATTGAGGTGAAGTAAGGCTACAAAGTAAAGTGAGGTGAAGTGGGGTGAAGCCTCGAAGAAAATTAAAGCGCGACGACTCAAAACACAAGCCACAAAGTAAAGATAAGTGAGGTGAAGTACTCTGAAAAGTAAATTGAAGTGAGGGGAAGTGGAGTAAAGCCTGAAAGTAAAGTGAGATCAGGTGAAGTGAGGCTGCAAAGTTGAATGAGATGAAGTGATGTAAAGCTACAGAGTAAAGTGAATCCAAAGTGTTTTTTTATTTTGAGTTAGTAGACATGGGTGAAGGACAGAAAGGAAACAATTTTTGCCCTTATTGCAATTGTATTTTTCTCTGGAAAGAGACAAGACTTCTAAGAAATGAAGGAGATCACTGACTTAAGTAAACAATACAAGTTGAACGGAAGTGAACGCGCCAAAAACAGGGGCTTGATTGCCAAATAAGTCAAAGATATCTTTCATCTGACATCACAAGGTGGAAAGAAGCAACAACAAATAACGGTTACTTGTTAGTTTCCTCTTAATCTGCTGTCTGTCGTGCTGCCGTGTTTTAACTCTGTTTCTAGGCAGCAGCACGTGTGCTGTGGCGCTTCCCTACATTGTATGTGGAGTGTTGTTGGTCCTCTACATCCTGACTGTTGTTGTGGATGTGTACAAGTATCAAAGGTAAGGATGTCGGTTTGTACGTCTCTTTTCCCTCCTACACTTCTCCCATTGTTTTGGAGGTATAACTTTTCATTCCTAGCAAGCCCGAGTTTATTACTGTAATATTATATCATGATGTTGTTGTTAAATGTTAAGACACTCCCAGTCGTTGGAAACCTGACATGCTGGTGTTAAACAACTATTTATCTGCAGCTCGGTCCTCTGCCATGAAAAATAAACATATTTCCTTGTAATTTTGGCTGACATTCTTTCTCTGTTTGTTTTTCATATCGCTCCAAGTATTTCCAAGAGGCTGAAGGTAAGTGGAAATTTCTCACCGCAAACAGAAAGTGAATGACAGCCAGACAGTTAAAAACGATCCCCCGCATAGCACACAGAGAAGATCTGATAAGGAGTTTTGACATCCTCTGCTCGTCACCGTCTCGTCTCGCTGACATCCCTCGTCCTCTCTGTTTGACTGTAGCGCTCACAGTGACTAATCTTTAAACATGTGATCCGTCATTTTTTATTTAAAGAGTGAGTCTCCTCCGTGCAGCAGCCACGAATAATAAACAATCTCGGTCTAATTGATTTTCAAAATACAAGAAGGTGAGAGTATGGCAAAAACAATTACCGTGAATGTGCTTTATGCACGATATGTTAGATGAACGGTTTTCCTAATCAGAAAGGATCACATGCAGAAAACATTATTCAGGAAAAGGGTCACAATGTTTACATTTTCTTTACATAACAATAAATAAAATGCAACAACTACTGAAGAAGTTTTGGATGCGTAATCCTTTCTTGACACGCATGCAAAAAACGAATGTTAATTTGAGTGTGGGCATTCATTCATGACGTTTTACTGAACCTAAAGGTCAATTTTACTATTCGTACCTCTACCACTGTGCGTCATGATTGTGGTACGACGTAGTCACAGTTTTCTTTTCGTTTTCTTTTTCTTTTGGAAGCGACTCTTTCACCAGTACTGCTCCCACATCCTAAAATACTGACAATATAAACAATCAAGCCTGCGGTTAGAGTTGTTTAAATCACCTTTCTAAAACGCTGCTCAAGTCATAGTCGACATTTATGTTTCATTTTAAATGTTTTATTTGTGTCTGCATCTGGGTTGTTGATATCAAATCAGTTTTGATTTCCAAATAAGTTTTAAGATGTTTATCCTCACGAATATGAAGGAAGATTTTGTGTCAACCGGATCAATAAGATCTCTTTCTTCTTTCATTTCCTCAGCAGATCGAGCTGAAGGCGGAACACACCTACACTGATCTGAGAACCTGCAGCATCACGTCTGACTATGACCGACTGCAGGTATGTGCAAACCTCATGCACATATTTATTAAAATGAGAAATCATGTTATTCCCACCGGTGTTCATCAGACAACATGAGGTGTTCAAGACGAGATATCTGACTAACTGTTATCCACTTTTCACATATAAGGTCACGTGTAAAAGAAGCAGGAAGAAAGGAGTGATGAATCGGATATGTATCAGCGTTATTCATGCTCAGACATGTTGGAACGTGTTGGAACAATGCCTCCCACAAAATGACGTTCCCCTGCAGATAAACCGCATTCTCAATTACCTTTCCAGTTCAACATATTTCTTTGGGATAGTTGTAAACAGTTTCAAACAGTTTTAAACATGTGGTTAATGTCATGAATTGAAACAAATACAAAATCACAACAAAACTACTCAGTTAGATTTACTAAAAAACGTAGTTTGGCTTAAAATGACTTTGTTTGTTACGTTATTGAAGCTGTGGACTCAAATAAAACAAGTGAACTTTGACTTTGGGTTTCACACGGGATGCAGAAGGCGGTCTATTGGTTGAAAGTCCCGTTTTGTTTTTGTTTTTGACAATGAATGGAAGTATATGTGTTCCCGTTTGCATGCAGCCGTGCTTTCTCCGATGTTACTAACGTAACAGCTGGCGGTCTTGTTCGACCTTCCAAACACAGCCTCCCTCTTTCATTCCTTCAACCACCTTCCTGAAAAGGTCGGCATTGCGATATGTTGTCATATCCAAAAACCTGACGATAGCCAAAGCTTTTTTTTGAATAATGTTTAACAGTAGGTGTGTTCCTCCTTCCGACCAGAAATGTGGGCTCTTCTTCCGGGCATGCATCTCTGCAAACCGGTTTGTGTATAACTACCGTACAATGCAAACAGGCTGTGAGTCTCAAATTGCGCCCCCCCCATTTAGATGCATTTTCTGAATGCGCTGTATACATGTCCACAAAAATGCTCCTTAAACCGGAATTATGTCGGCATATCCCACGTGCCTTAATCTGAAAATGTTCCATTCGGAAAAAGATCTACTTCGGAACATTCAAAAGGAAAATGATGTTTACATGACCCGTATCAAATTCTTAATATTTTCATATTCTGAATAATAGTGGGATATTCTTGTTCTTGTAAAAATAGTCATTGTGACAAAATGTTTGTCTGTTGTCCAACTTTCCAATTTAAGACTTTGAAATATCCCTACGAAGGCAATACATGCTGTGATTGGTTGGTGGTGTGAATAGTTAATGAGGTTTAAAAAGGAAGGCAGCTGTGTGAGATCAGACATCTTTTCAATGAGAGTGAAGCGTTGATTTCAATTATTTAAAGTTTAATATAACTGTGTGTTCCTGTACTCTCTGTGTGTGTATGTGTTTTGTTTTTTATCCCAAAAAGCCTCGAGAGCCTAAAGCGGTACCCTCTGATGAAGCTCACAACTACGAGAACCCCATCGCCCTGCAGGCCAGATTCAAACACCAACCGCCGCCAAAGAGCACTTGAAGGAAGCGGTAGAAGTTTTCATTGAAAGGGTCTGAATATGATTGTGAACATTTCAAACTAGACTTTGTGTCGTGAAATGTCACGTGTATCTATTCTATATTCTTTATCCACCTTCTTTCAAGCATTCTTTGAAGCCATATCATGCTTATTGTTTGTTTCTGGTGACTTTACCATCACATGTGACAAATAATTCTACTGTTGATGTCTCACGCGTACTTTTGCACACACGTCCTGTTATTCATTATGATACATTTGGAAAATAGTTTACGTGGAAACTGGAATTGAATAAAGTTTTGTGTGAATGAGGAGTAATTAAAGACTTTTTTTGTATCTCCCCTACCTTTCTCTACTGCTAACAAATCATCCTTTTAGCTCATTTGTTATGTTCTCAAGATTTATTTTTGAGACTTTTGTGTCAGATAACAAACTCAAGAGATGCAGCATTGTAGACACGGGTTACACCGACAGTCAAGAGGTTAAAACCATAGAAGGACAGCGAGATGTGCTGATGTTAACATCACCGCCTCATTTACCAAACACGACTTGGGTCAGACTGCTTCAAAGGATCTTCTGTTCTGCCTCATTAACTTACGTCTCTTTGATCTGCGAAGTGACACATCATCTTTGGTAATTTACTGGAGCACATGAACAGCTTATGATGTGAAAAAACATTGTCAACCAATCAGCAGAGTTTATATTGATGGGTCACTGAGGTGCCAAATACACGGTTCATCATTACTTTACTCACTTTAATATCATTATTAATGACAAAAGTTGTGAATTTGATGCTGGTTGTCGCAGATAATTGAAAACTGAATTTGCTGTATTTAATAATGTATTCCAAATATAGTTTATTCTTTTATTTCTAACTTTTAAAGGTGTGATGTGTAAAGCCGGCCACATATTCCAAACAAATTAATCCTATGCTCTTCATAAAACTAAACTTACAGTTTCAAGTCTTCTTCAATACAGCATGATGTTCATTTAGTACATTATGGTCCATTTAGAGTCAAACAGACCATAAAGCAGGGGATGCTTTAGGGCGGGGCTACACAGTGATTGACAGGTCTCTACCACGACGTTGTCAGGTCTGTGACGGTCCGTGTTTTGTCTTACAACTTTAACCCTTTCACAGTGTGTTTTCACTTCATAAAAGTTAATTGTATCATTTTAGTCGCCTAAATCAGTTCATCCAGTGCTCCACCCTCTCGTGACACTTCTGGTTAAAAAAAACCAAGATGGCGACGGCCAAAATGCCAAACTCGAGGCTTCAAAACAGCAGCAACTACGCCCACTTCTTACACACCGTCTCCGGTCTCATACAGGCGCTGATGGGCATGGACCAAAGGCCTGTATTTAATGAGACATAACGTCAAAACCTCCTCACATTCGGTTGGTGATTGATCATTCGTAAGGATCATTTTCTTGAATGTTTTAAACTGAAATTCTGGCAAGATTTTACACATTGCATGTTTGAACCAAGATTAGTTTGTTTTCTGCTGCAACAGGCGTAACAAACGACTGAGGTGCTTTGCAGCATCCATCGCCGGCAACATGTGGCTCCTGACGTCTGGGACGGAGACATTTTGGGTATTTTTGACATCCATCACCAGCCGAGTGTTCGAGACCATGATAAACCCTACGAGAGCAGGGGAAAGAGACAACCGATGAGCCAAATCTGAGACTTTTTGAGCGAGCGTGGTAACAAGGGGGAGAGAAAACATTAACTCCTGTCTTGGTTGGAAAAAAGTAACAGCTGCATAACATAACAGTCTACATATATGATGATCTAAACCTCCTGGAACTTAACCCAGGATGAGATCAGAGTCATGTCGGGGGTCTCAGACAGAACAGCAAACACACATCCTCCAGAAACTCCACAGGAAGCACTGACACGCTTCGGTTGTTCCATGGTGGAGGTCCGTTGTCTGGCTGCCATGCTGAATTCCTGCCTAATGTGAATAACTTGGCAGTGTTTGATGCCTAAAAATAAGCGTCCGTTGTGTCTATTCATGCCTTTGCTGAAAGGTGCCAACTTGCATCGTTTCAGGTTCGGACGGCCTTTTTCTTTCTCTGTTGTTGCCAGAAATACATGTGATAAGAAACACTTTCTGTCAGAGCAAAAAAAGAAAGAAAACCTGCGTCCGTCAGTCATTTGCATGCTGCTTCCCCCCCCGCTCCCCCATTCACTGCTGCATTCCTCACATTCCTCCGTTCAACAGGGGTCAGAAAGAGAGAGAGAGAGAGAGAGAGAGAGAGAGAGAGAGAGAGAGAGAGAAAAAAAAGAAGATAAAAAAGTAGAAGATATCCGGAGCGTGGGTGTTTGGGGAAATGATTAGTGGGCTTGTGAAAACCACTATTGAGGACAGGCCCCCCCTTAACCCCCCCGAACACACACACACAGACGCACACACACACACACACACGCACACAGCCTCTCCATTACCGCATACGGGATTGTCTTTGATGACAAAAGGAGGGCGACCGTTATGACGTATGTTTCCGTGCATCACTTTCACTGGCACAAAGTTCAGCAGTTCAGCGTTTGATGCAAAACTCCATCGCTGGACTGTAACTTACATTTAAAAAGGGGGGGTACATTACAGGACACAGCCCTCAGGTAGGTCAAGTATTCTGTATCATGGTGGGTGGAGATTTAACTATCACACACATTTCATCAGAAGCAGGAAATTTTAAGCTTATTGGAAACTTATTTTTCAACGTCATTCCTCCCGATGCAATTTGAGCCTGCTGACGATGTCGCTTCGACACAAGCCAAACTCCCGATCGGTTAATGAAGTGAGTAACGTAATGATGCCGCAACTTAACTTTTCAGCTGACATTTTCATCCACAGTGACTTCAACTGAGTGAGTAAGTTGTGACTTATTAGTTGAACCTGCTCATAAAAATTTCCATTCATGCAACTAGTTCACAGTGGTGAAAGTGATAGTAGGAAAAGTACCACCAGGATTATGGTTTTAATCAGCATAAGGACCTGATTGAACTGTAAAATATTAACTGTCTACATATTTCTAAGTGTCATAATAAGTTAAGGCAACAAAACCACTTAGTTAGATTTAGGGAAAACATGGTTGGGCTTAAAATAACGATGTAAAAGTGAAAATGTAAAAATGTAACATGTCACATCACAAACATGACAACAAAATTGCGGATCCTAAAGAGGTTAGCGTAGATGCTGCAATAGTATCAATTATGTCAGAAATGGAGAGAATTTCTTTGTAGAAAGAAGAGCAAGAACATGACACTGAAGGCTTTTCTGGATGGAAAAGATGTTTTTGCTCATCACCTGCCACATTTGTTGTTTTTAAAGTGCCTGTCCTTTTTCAAAAAGTTTCCAATGGCGGCTTATGAGATGTTTCTGTGTCACTAAACATCCAAGTCAGCGAACAGGCTAGGAAAAGTGAAGCCAATGCAGAAGTGTCTTAAACCTCCATTCTCTCTAGTGTCCACCAGGGGGCGACTCCTCTGGTTGTATAGAAGTCTATGAGAAAATGACTCTACTTCTCTCTTGATTTATTACCTCAGTAAACATTGTAAACATGAGTTTATGGTCTCAATCTCTAGTTTCAAGTCTTCTTCAATACAGCATGATGTTCATTTAGTACATTATGGTCCATTTAGAGTCAAACAGACCATAAAGCAGGGGATGCTTTAGGGCGGGGCTACACTGTGATTGACAGGTCGCACTTATAGTCACTGGTTGCAAAAAAACAAAAATTGCGACGGACAAAATGTTGAACTCGAGGCTTTAAAAGGTCCACAAACCAATGGATGACGTCATGACGAATACGTCCAAAGTTTCCAATGACATCTTCTGAGATAGTTTAGTGTAAAAACCATCCGCGCGTCAGCAAACAGGATAAGTGGCGGTTTTAATGGTTTAAGTAAAAATGGAGTTATTTAGTCAACCCTCAGAAATAAAAATGTGATGGACAAACGTGTGATTATGACGCAACACAACTCAACAGCAGCTGTACAAATTGGCAGCTGAGAGCAGGAGACAGCGTTACACTCTGCAGAACGGTTGGTGTTGAGAAAACAAAGTTAATCTTCCACCTCTGGAAATAACTTTTATAGCTTTTAAGACGTTTGAATGTAAATCCTGCCTGTAAGACATTTAAAAATAAAAACTGGAGGTAAAACACATGTTTACCCAGGTCATCCCATATCATCTCAACAGTTGTGTCAATGAGTCTGCAAAGCATTTGTGTAAAAGCTAATTTTTTAGGCAAATTTTACCTAGATTTCAATATTCACCACATAGGTTCAAAAGTTGACGGAGATATGCCAAAGCTCCATAAATCCTCCAAAATTGAGCTGCAGATCCAGGTGATAATTGTCATTGATGCATTTTTTGTATAAACATTTTGATTATAGCCACTCTAATCAGGTTTCAAACTAAAACAGGTACATGATTGAAAGAGAGTGAATGATTCAGAGATGACTTTCACTGAGGGGAACTGACGCAATAACCCTGACGAGTGAAATCTCAACTCAAATCTCAATTTCACAGGAAACCTAAATTTCCAGAAAACAAGGATTAATAATTAATGACATTTTGTTGTTTTTCTCTCTTTGGCAAGAATATTGTCGAGCCAGGAATTCATAAAATGTAGAAACGTGTTTAAACATTAAAATACAGTAATTGTGTCAAAAACTGAAGCAAGTAACGCTGTTAAATCATAAAATTCTCTGTCTTGTTGAGTTTTACTTCCTGTTATCCAGGTTTGGTTAATTAATTGTGTTGCTGGTAGGAAGCCACACTGGGAGCTGCCCAGTACGACCCACAGACGTGTTACTGGTGCAGCAGCTGTGGTTCAAGAGCACATTCGTTGTGGTCGAGAGTATTTCTCCTGACAGTGACAGGAGGAAGGAGGTCTTTGTTTACTTTAGTTTATCATCTTTCCTGCATTTATTATTAATGGACTGTGCTGCCGGGATGTCGTCACTTCATCTACACGCTTGACTTTTCCCTTTTTTCCCCCGTTCAGTTGCATGATTTTCTGTTTGAATTAGCAGAAGAATGTAATCAAGAGAAGACAGTTCGGACATGAGATGAGAGGTTTCAATGTGAACAAATTATTTTTATTCTCTTCTTTTCACTTTCTGCCTCATCAAGTTTTAATTTTATTTAATTTTCTGACATGACATTCTGCTGATGTTTTTATGTGTGAAGAAGAGACACAAGAAGAAAGTGAGGTGATGACATCAGGGAACAGAGGGAGGAGGGGGAGGGAGGGGGAGAGAATTACTCAATTTAATATTTTCACATTTTTTATTTTATTAATGATTGACTTCATTCAGAATCAGCTCAACAAACAGACATTTGAAGTTTTTTGGGGGTTTTTTTTCAGATGAGGGGGGCTAGAGGATGGGGGATGGGGGATGGGGGGGGGGGGGGTAGCTGTCCAGTGTGGGCGTTGATGGCGACGTTGGCTGATGACTCAGGTGATGTGTCATGCTGCTGTGCTATAAAAGGGAACTTTTACATTTCATCCACACACACAATAACACACACACACGTACAGTACACACACTGGACTGGAGAAGGAGGTTTGTTTACTACAGCGGCAGCAGAAAAGATGAAATGTAAGTTTGTTTATGATACTTTTAGTGTGTGTGTGTAGAAGTGTGTGTGGGGAGGAGGTGGTCTTACTTTTAGAGTCAGTTTGATGTGAGAGAGAGAGTTTGTGAATGAATGAATGAATGAATGAGTGTGTGATCTTTGTGGCTGAAACAGAAGGTTTAGTTTTTAAATGTGATTGAATTTCATTTAGATTTCACAAAGAGTTGGGTGTCAGGTTTTGGCAGTGACTGTGTGAATGTGTGTGTTTGTGTGTTGGGGGGTTTCCCTGAGTGGTTTGAACTTGCATCAGCAGCAGCATCAGACTTAATGTACCAAAACAGTAAAATAGCTTTGTTGTTATTGTAAACGTTAAGGTGATAATCTCAACAGTTTGTTGTTACTTTCTATGGCCAATGCTCACTAATGGCCCACTAATGAAAGTATTGCAATATTTATATCATTGCAGTATTGTGAACTGGGCTTCTGTGGCGACATTCCCTGAAAATATTGATACTGTGTTACAGTTTTTCTCGATTGTAAACATGCAAAACTAAATGGAACTATGCACACAATTCTGAAAATGTATCAACAAAAATACACTTTCATCATTTTCTTTCAAATAGAAAGTTTAGATCAACCAGGACTGAAATCCAAAGGATTGACACTAAATTATACACAATATTTGTGTATTTGTACACGATATTTGTGATAGTCATTAGGAGCTCATGTAACAGCACCAGTGAGGAATGATTGTGTGTTTTTATGAATGAAAAGTTGTAATCACTGACCAGTGGAGGTCTTCTCTCACAGTCACAGGTGTTCTCCTGACTTTGAGATTACATAACACTCGTGTGAAGTCAAAGGCAATGTCGATTACCACCTAAATACTAAAACCTGCTGATTCGTAAAACAACAACAAGAGTCATTAAACACTGAGTGTGTGTGTGTGTAGGTGTGTGCGTCTGAGAGGGGTGACACACATGAGTCAGGTAGGCAGACGATGATGCCATCACGCGCATCACTTACTGTAATGTAATCTGCACACTCACTGTATGAGGACGGATCATGGATGTATCAGGAGAAAGGGCTCAGTGGTGATGACAGTTTGCTCCAGTGGCCAACTGTGGTACTGCAGTTGTAAAACTTCCTGGATGATGTCACACTGTCTGTGTCAAGCTTGATGATGTGTGAGGAAACAGGGTACTGCAACACACACACACACACACACACACACACAGTCAGAGCTCACAGTGTGCGTTTCTTATGTTATTATTGATCACGATTTTGTGAAACAGGGTTTTTTCCTTAATTCTAGGCAGTTGAGGTTTCAGTTCAAGTGAAACTTGAAAATAGATTTTTGGGGCTTTATCTGTTTTTTAATAAAGTTGCCATGTTCATGAGTTAGCTGCCACAAAGCTCAGCATTCACACACTGTGTTGTCAGAAAATAACACTCAGAAACTAAACAATTAGCTGTGATAGATGTTGTGAAAAGGACAATAGTCCATCTAGTTATTTACTGGGTTATAAAAGTGTCAGTTCTTGGTGAACAGGGAAGTCTTCATGACAGTGTGCCCTGCAGCCTCCTGCATTTTATGTTAGGGTAATCTGATTTAAAACTGGAGTTATATCCAATTATATATAATCACTTTACTTGCCAACGTGCCAAAACCTGATCCAGATCATCTAATATGAGGATATCACAGACGTCTTCTGTGTTGCTGTTGATGTGTGTAAAAACATCTGGTGTTCTCCCAACCTTCAGCTTTTTTTGCACTCGAAGAGTCACGTTACGTCTTGGAAAGGCAGGAGTAAGTGTAGATATATTCCGTATGTTTCCACCTGCAACCGCACTGCAAGATGCCACCAAATCCTACAAACTGTCCCTTTGAGGTTACAAGTCGTGAAACCAAAAGATAAAAGATTTGCTGTGCGTTCGTCACTACGAGTGACACCTTTCACATTACACATAATCATTTGATCCAATATTAAAATAGTGATTAGTGCCACTTAAAGTTGATCTCAAATAACTCTGACATTTCAAAGTTTGTAGAGCTTTCTCAAACCATAGAAATGAGTGTGCCGCACCACATGGATGTTTGCTCATAAGTCAAGCATTGCACTCGTGGTTTGCCAGTTCCTTGAAAGTAAAAAAGCTTTCTTGGTTTTATCGGTTGGTTTTGGAGGAAGTTGGCACTTCCTGCCAGACGCAGCTCACAACCGTTCAGAAGTTCATCAGAAGTTCTTGAGGTTGAGAGGGCCTGGCTGAGGAGATGAGGCGTTCACTGTGTCAGACAGAAGACTGACACCAAGTGGAACGGAAGTGTGTGTGCGTGACGCGCAGCATGCGTGTGTTGGTGTTCCGTGTGTGCTGACGAAACGATCTGCTAAATGCATCAAAGACGGACTATTCACTCTGCTTCTCAAGCACTTCTGCCGTGAGCTGTAATGCTGTCACAGCTGTTTGCTCTGCCAAATACATGACTGTACACAACACTGCCGGGGGATGTTTTTCTCGTGTGACAGAGGCTTTCTGCTGATGTCTTCTTTAGAAGGAATTTCCAAGAGCCTTATGATGCTGTTCCAGATTTCCTGTTTGCGCTGACAATGACCTGACCTGACCTATTACCGGACGGGGAGAAATCTGCCGTAACTGATATTTAATGGAGTGTTTTGGCAGGAAGCCGTAAGTGCACTGATTCACTGGCCAGTTGTGGATGCTTGAGACTTGGGTGAGCATCTGTTTGTTGTCATTTAGGCCTTGAATGGGATTATGTGTGTTTCAAACCTTACTTCACTTTGAAGGCAGGAATCATCTTACTGGTGCAGTTGTTCAGGCAGAAGCAGGAGGAGTGAAAGGTCCCACTGTTAGATGTTTCCTCCAATCAACTGCCTGTTGTGGAAATGCTGTCATATAGCCGAGACTGTCATTTTGGGCTGGAAGTCGATGTCTAACTCACAGTGAGACAGATATGGTACAGTATTTGATGTTTTCTCTCTTTAAGAGGCAGGACATTCCCATAATCCAGATCTTGGAATAAGATCCAGACGTGTTTTTTAATTCATGAAAGATAATTCTGCAGCTGTTCTTGTTTCCTGTCTGCAGCTGCATATGAGCCTGACCAGGAATAAACAAGGGAAAAAAACACATGATTGAGATTAAAAACAGCATTTACAGTCACATATTTCTGTTTTTAAAGCAGGATGTTTTATGTTTGTGTTTTATTATAATTAAGTGTGAGGACGCTTCAGTTCACGCTTCTCATTGTTAGTCCGCATTGAATTCACTTTTATGAATGGATATGCTGCATGTATGTAATGCAACATTACTGTTTGTAATTTTATTTGAAGGCATAAACTCTGAGCTGCAACGGACAGATTGAACACAAATCTGCTGCTGAAGATACATTTAATTATTCAAATATGTACTCTTCTGCCTTGATTGTTTTTAAGACAAATCGGCTCGATTGTGACACCTTTTTGAGACTTATAAATAACTTATGATAATAACTAAATATATTTATATTGTAAACTATTTAATAAAAAAACAGCAATTCATGATTAAAAACGATAAAGCATGAAACCACATCAAACAGCAAGAGGAGGAGTTTGAACAGAAACACTGAAGGGTAAAAATGCATGAAAAGCTCCAAAGTTGACTTTGATCTTTTGTACTCAAAACAAAAACGTGTGTTGGACCTCCCTCCCTGTGACCTCTGACCTGTGACCTGAGAGTAACTGAATGACAGTAAAAGTGTTTACAGTGCACCGAGTCAGACACTCATGACAAAGTGGATGTTTTCCCTTTAAAGAGTGCAGCCTGAGGCGTCGCATAGATTAGTCTGAGTCAGACTGCACCACCAGCTCCCTTCTCCCTTTCCACCAGGAGGCCCAGAGCAGGCGGGGGGGGGGGGGCGGCCCACAGCACACCGCAGCATACCTCACATTCCTTCACCCTGATCCAACACTAACAGACAGTTGGCTTCTTTGTTGCCCTGAGTTATTATAGGATTTCTCAAGTTGCATGAACCTGCGGGTAGATTTACAGACGTGCACTGGCTTGATTGAAGTGTTGCTTCCTTGTATAGAGATCGTCACTGATTAAAACAGTTTAAGAGACCAAGACGAAGCAAACCACAGAGGATTTGGGGGGATTATTCACCCTCAGACTGATTGACAGGGATGACAGCTTGATGATTCCTTTCTGTGTATTTATCAAACGTAGGGTGAGGTGTTCATTCCATTCATTCCTGAGAGAGTGAAAGATGATTAAGTGATGAAGCCATGTAGGATTATAACTAGAGTCTGAAGTTCACTTCAGCGTCATTCAGCTCATTGTTTTGGTTTCATGCAACTTCTGCTCCATTAACCTCCTTCAATCAGACAAACAGCAGACGGACACAGTTAGCAACGAGCTAACAGGTGAACATAGTTGAGCATTTTGTTCCCCACGAGTTGGTGGAGACCAAAAACGAAGCTGAAAGTAGAGTGAATAATGGACTTTTACTCATCAGGTGGTATGAAACACGACTATATTCACATCCATCCACCCTGGACCTCCTCCGCAGCGTTGAGGAGGTCCATTTTGAGAAGTTTAAACAAGAAACGAATGACTTTTATTTCCGGCTGAGATGCAAGACCTCATTTCCCAGAAATACAAATTTCCAGTCCGCAGAAATCTGTTTCCTCGTCTCACACTCACACTTTCAGCCACTGAATATAACAGTAAATCAGAGTCTGACCTATTTTGGTCACTAAACCTTTGTTCACACCGCAGACCTTTCATCTCTGGACTCTTATGCTCTTATGATTGTTTTTAAATAACTGTATAACAGAATATAACAGTGACAATGATGCTGATGATGCTCCTCATGCAGATCAAAGTGCCTTTGCAACTGTGAAACAAGCTGCAGGGGCACTTGCGAAGAGTCAGTGTTATGTCCACATAAAGTTCTTGTTATTGTGACTAACAGGCTCAGATTCTTATTGTAAGTGTCTGAGAGAATTATAGAAAGAACCCTGAAGAGAAATAAAAGACTTTTCTTTACTCTTTTCTTAATCCGGTCTTTTCTTAAGTCCCGCTCAAAGAGAAGTCTCGTTCTGAATATCTGAGAAAATATCTTCTCCACTACATACACAATAATGTTAATACACAATAATTAACATTCTTTTTTCTTTAAATCTCTTCTTGTCTTTAGTGATTCATGACTCCACTCCTCGTCTCCTCCACCTGCTGCTATTGGCTGAGCTGTTTGTCCATTCATCACCTCGTCCCGTCCACATTTCTCCACACTGTGGGATGTTTAAATCAATGATCCATCAGGTGGACACCTTGAGCAACATATTCAAAACACTCCATGACTTGGTAAGTCTCTATACTGTGTACTGCCTGGATGAGCTTTAATTAATGATATTTAAGTCTGTTTTTTGTTGTTGTTTTTTACCTCTGATGCGGTTTATACGTCTTCAAGTTTCCCATCAGGGATAAAAAAAAAAAAGTAATTTATTTTTATTTCACTTTAACTTTTATTTTGTCAGAAAAAACATATTTTAATAATTGACGTATCATGATTTAGTGTAGAAAATAAATATACTAACTTGAACAGTCAACCAAACAGATTAGTTGGTTGATAGAAAATACACGTAAACAGACAGAAATCTTAACGTTTTGTGATAAATACATGTTTTTATTCATGTTTTTGTACGTATATTTTATTAGAAATGATTATTCCTCCGTTCAAACACAAATAAAGATCCATATAAGACTGACAATGTTATGTAAATTACTGATTTAAGGTTTCTCACATTTTTTTTCTCCTAAAGTGTTTAACATTGCAGCTGTTCTGTTGTCAAATGTTCTGTTTTTTAAAGCCACCTTCATTTCTCATCATGTTCCCAACAGCCAGATGGTGAACGCATGCACTTTGAGGATGTGGAATTTCGGCTGGGCGGTCTTCCTCACATACAACACACTGCGGCCGATTTCAACTCATTGAAGGTAAAGTTTCTGGAATCAAGGCCTTCAATTATGTCAGGAGAGAACTTAAACAGCAGATTTATATTTCCTCTCTCTGTGTATTTAATGTGTCCACAGTTGAACGAGTCACTCCCCCAGCTCTTCCTGTACACTCGGTCCTTCGGGCTGCATGTTGATTGGTTGAAAACAGCCAAAGAAAACGTCAGTTTGTCCTCCCAGTCAGCTGAGGGCGCCAGCTCTCACCTCCTGCAGCTGTCCAGCCTCTTGAACGCATCTCTTCACCAGGTGAGAGGACCAGCATGGTTTGGTTCATTTACGGGGATTATATGGACGACAATTCACCCCAAAAGAGAAAACAAAAATTTAAAGAGGAATGGTAAAAAAAGTACTTTTTACTTGAGTTTAAATTATGATTAGGGATAAAAAAAAAAGTGAGATTATAAAATGTGATAAACAAATGTCAGTGAAAAGAAAGTCAAATTCGTCAATTGAATAAAATGCTGGAAATTGCTTCATCAGACAGAAAGGGAAAACACAGAACAAGACACATGGAATGAATTAAATTGAATTGCTAATAAGCTAATTATTAACAATAAGATATGAAATGAAAAAAGGAAAAATCATTACACCTACAGACCACTCACTACTTAATAATGAGAACGCTGAAATATTAATGTAGACTCTTGAAAATAAGACCAGAAATTTAAAATGAAATAAGCACCATCATATTAATGTTTTCATGAAAATTGGCTCATTAATAACATCACATCTGGTGTGGCTCAGCATCAGTTCAATTCACAGTGAAAAAGAATAAAGTAGGAGAGCAATGAGAAAACAAAGATACAAATAGAACAAAAACATATATATATATATATATATATATGAACTCTGAGTGCTAATTATTAATAATAACTCCTGTTGTCTGCGGGTGGATTTCTCATTAAACTTAACCGGTGCACATTGTGCAGTTGAAGGGAAAATTAAACAGATTTGATTTGACTTCCAAGCTGCTTCTAAACCTCTGAACTGTAATAATTCTTTCTGTCTTTAGATCGGTGAAGAGGTTCCTCAGTCTCCGTCTCCCTCCCTCCCTGTCGTCTCCACAGCCTTCGACGTCCTCCAGTTCTCCGTTGAGATCTCTGAACAGTTACAAGTCTTTTGTAAGTGGTCAAAAAGAGTGTTGGTGCTTCTGAGACCTTCCCGCTGCCCTCGACGTTAAGCCTCCGCCTTCAGCGAACAAGCAACTGCCAATGTCTTCCCATAAAACCACTGTTGACTTATATACTAGATGTTTGCTTATATGAGGAATTTGGTTGGTCCACCACTTTGGTCCAGACTGAAATATCTTGACAACTATTGGATGTATTGCCATGCAGTTTGGTACAGATATTCATGGTCCCCAGTGGCTGCACACAGGTCAAAGTGTTCTCCTATTCGGAGAAATATTTCAACGTCTTCTGGATGGATTGGCATAAAATTTGGCGCAAACATTTAAGGTCCCCAGAAGAAGAATCCTACTGACTTTGGTTGATTACCTGATTTTTCCTTTAGCGCTGTTTCCAGTTAAATATTTCAACAACTGTTGGGTGGATTGCCCTGACATCTGGTACAGACATTCATGTCCCCCACAGGATGATTTGGTGATCCTCTGACTTTACATCTGGCGTCACCATCAGGTCAAAATTGAAATTAGTCCGATACTTTGGTTTGTGACCAAATATCTGCAGAGCTAATGACTTTCCCATCAGTATTACGTTTATCTTTTTGTGCAACTTAGCAAATGCTAGCATGCTAACATGCTGAACTAAGACGGTGAACATGGTGAACACCATACCTGCTTAGCATCAGTGTGTTTGCGTTGTCATGACTGGCATATTATTTGTCATGATAATAGCCAGATGTTGATGTTCTAGATGCGTCAGTTCAGCAGGAAAGCAGACGGTTCATCACATGTTCTTAAGAAATGTCTCATTTGACTTGTAGCTTTTTGAAAATGTGCAGTCCTGATGCACTGTGCAGAGGAAGCCCCACCTGTGACCTTTACTCCCTGTGAGACTGTTTACATTCACAGTGCCTGCTAAGTGTTGACTCAATCAGCTAAACGACGAGAAAATGTTTTAAAACTATTAATATTTTTTCTACTATTTAGTATTTATGAGCTTTTTATATATTATAGTGTGAGATGCAGGCATCTCAATTTTTTTTCTATTGGTTTTCTATTAAGTAATATTTAATAATAATAATAATAATAAAGTATTGTCATGCTGGAGTGCCTTTTTACAGTATTATTTATACATGTTGTTTTTGTATGTTTGACATGAAGTCTTAAATAAAGTTTTACACTTGAAACAGAGATCTGCTCCATGTTGATGCACTCTACTTCCTAACAGAATCTCACTTTACACAACACTGCATCAGTGATCTTACGCAAAACATGACAAACTGTGGAAGAAATAATCGGTTGAACTGAACCTCAGTTCACATTGTTAACTGTTAATTGTTAAGCAAATTAATTAGCATAGGTATAGCTGTAAAAGTTGTATGAGAACAGCCTGATGATTTAGCCTGCAGTCTCTCTCTCTCTTGTGTGTCCGAGTGGAGGTGTGTTTGTGTGTGTGTGTGTTTGTTTGATTGCAGGAGTGGACACAGGTGTGCAGGTGTCAGGCTACAGGCTGCCTCTCATCATAATCAGCCCTGCCATAAAAAACCTGATCACCACATCACCAGATCGTAGATTCTCCTCAAGCAGTCAGTGTTGTTTCTGGCCTATTAGAGTCTTCTACTGATCCGTCAGTATTTTGTCTGAAACCTGTATCCTTGTGCCTGACGTAACGTCGGCCTTCGTCTCCAGAACCCCCTTTCAGCCCGGCTCACACTACCAACCTTTTAACTTGCCCTCTGCCTCCCGTCTCAGTGTCTGCCCTTAGGTTCAACAGTAGGCTAGTCTCATGTCATGGAGCGTAGATATTATCTGTTAACAAACATATCTTATGTGGTCGATAGTAATAATAATTAAGGTCGATAAGCACTTACGTAACGAGCCCAAAGCGACGCGTGTGTTGCTGCACTTTCGCACGAAAAATGAGGATTAACTTATCAGACGAACCGTTGTATGAGCATGCATTGATAGCTTACAGATTTCACAAAAAAGCGTTGCTGATGTAGCGCTCTGAAACATATTATTTACAAACATCTAATTTCAAATTCATATTGTTAAAAATATTACTTACGTCTTCTGAGGAAAATTGTTGTACTGACCCTTTAGAAGAGAGCACTGTCGCTTTAAGAGAGTGAGTTACGGAGACTGCAGGCTGAAGGCCTTGTGCTTGTGCTGAACTGTGGGTCAATAAAAGTTGCAAAAAACGAAGACTGATGTTTTTTTGGCGGTTCATGATGAGGGTGCAGCACTGACACTCTCTGCCTCAAGCGTTACAGTATCACTCAAACTCCACATCTGCAGCCACTGCAATGCAAACGCCCGTAGAGCACCGAGGTTAAAAAGAGCCACACGGGGCTGAGTGACACATGTGGGAATGCGCAGGCCGCTGCTGTTCAGCCTGCGACCTGAAGTGACACACAGTGACTTGCGTAATGTCAGCGTGTTGACACGTGGCCACAGACGGATGATCTTACACACAGACAGACTTTCGCCATAACGCCGGCCCTCCAGGGAAAACTCTGAGTGATCCTGCAGTTGTACGCACTGCTGTCACCGGCAGCAGCTGAGATCTTGATCCACAGCCCACAGCGGGGTCCGGGTGTTAGAGGGACATATTCTTTGACTAGAAATAGAAGGGGAGGGAGAAATAAAGATGGTGTTTTGTTCCCAGAGAGAAAGAGGGTGATAGGTGATCCTTTTGTTGACCGACAGATCAACAGCTTGTGTTGACTGAAGTCAGCTGATGTTGAAATAGAGTGTAGGAGGAAGTCCGGGTCGAAGGATGGGTTCCCATCTTTTTTTCAAACCAACTGCCAACTTTGGTTTCTTTAAACCGACAGTTCCTTAATCTTAACCAAGTTCATTGTAATCATGACGACAAAACTCTCCAAACGACTGAGCTCATTTTAATCCAAACCAAGATCAAACACAACTCAGTCGCTAGAATAAAATTCACAGTTCATGCAAACACACTTTTTTATGCATTTACACTTGACGAAAGCACTCACACCGGACTTCACACAGATGCAATCATGCATATGAACACAGTGATTATAAGCTTCCTCTGCAGAGCACACACAGAGGTAGAGTAAGGAAGGGAGGGAGGAAGGCAAGTAGAAAATGCTCAAATGAGGGATGGTAGGAAAGTAGGACGAGCCCACACACAAGCGGGACACTCTCTAGGATCCGGGGGGAGGAGTGGAGGTGAGGACAGACATGAAATTCTCCGAGCTCGTCGGTCAGTGTGGAGAGTTTCTCCTCTGACTGCAAACCACAGCCGAACTCTCTCTGCAGCACACCGAGACACACCGGGGTGTTTGTTGTACAGAAGGTGGAAAGAAGTGCAGCAGATGTGGAGGATCTCCTGACAGGTGCACCTGCTAAATGAAGAGAATTTATGTTGGACATATTTCTAACTGAAGATCAACGGTGCTGAACTGAACCACAGCTGCAGAATGGCAGTAAGTCAAAGCTGCTGCCGAGCTTCTCTCACCGCAATCTTTCATCGATTTAAGGGTCAGTTCACTCAATGTGTAAGAAAACAAACACACTTTCTCATTTACCTCTTGTTTCATGGGAACTGCACAGATATGTCATAACGTCATAACCTGGACGGATAAAAACTATCTGCATGATGAAGATTCCACAAGAGGCACAACTTGGGTGACCTGACCCTTTAAATAACAATTACCAGATGGAGAACGTTGAAAATATGGAGTTTATTTTGATGTCATGAGCAGGAACAATCCAAATGGATGTGTTTTATAGAGATCATGGTGAATGTCTGATGCAGTAGGGTTTTACATGAAGTGCATTGTGAACATTTCACATTTTTGTGTTTATTTTGTCTCTACAATTATCTCTATGATTATCATCGGAGGGCTTTTGTTGCCTTATCGTATCATAATTTAATAGAAGATAAATGTTGTAACACTTTTAAGACACATTTTGGACCAATGAGAATGATTTTAGGGTGCAATGTAAACCTTTTTAATACTGTTGGCGGCTTTTGTCTCGAAAAATTACTCTTTTTATTGTGAGCTGCTTCAACCCAGTTGATTAAATAAGTCCTCAAAAGAATAAACATCAAGATGTTTTGCTATTTTGAGGCTCTGGTGTCTCAGTTAACCCACTGATACTGTGAACATATTTAGACTGGAGGTTTTACATACAATCATCTACATCAGCTAATTCTTGTATTGCCTTAAATGTTTGATTTTAATTGCCAGATATTGCGTTCACATTATTCACATACATGCTGTTTAATAATCCTGAAACCTGTTGAAAAGGAATAGTCGTGAATAGTAGAATGTATATTTTTAAAAGCACGAGGAGTGAAAGGAGATTCAGAAGCTCAAGTATTTGTATAATATCGGTATGTTGGTATCAATTACACGTTTCAGCTCTAACTGTATGCTGATGATCCTGCCCTTCATCACTCTGGTGTTTGTGGTCCACAGAGACCATTCTCAAGTAGAAGAGGACATTTATCTCTAACACACACGCAGTCATTCCAGGCCTGTGTGTGTGTGTGTGTGTGTGTGTGTGTGTGTGTGTGTGTGTGTGT